GGATAAGATAAGTTAACGTTATGATTTGCAGCAGTTTGCGAGCAGTGCAGGCTTAACCATTGGTGCAGATCAACATAAAATGTATAATTGATGGGAATGCTCGCACTGCACGTGACGAAGGTTAAAGGGAAGCTTCCAACATGACTAATACATCAGTAGTATGTGCCAAGACAATCACACTCATCATTTAGATGAATCTTTAAACTAGGTGCTTCGTTGGAGTTATTAACGATCAAGGCGTTGGAAGATGATGCTTGGAGATGTTCTTTAGAGTTAGCTCTTCTTTCCAATGTGAATCTCCGAACTTTCACTTTTTCCATCCCAGATTTCGGGCACAGCGTCTTGAAGAATTTTGCGAAACGGCTCCTGAAAAATGTAATGTCAATTTGAAGCTACCTTTATTACGTCGAAACCCGGCAACGCAAACAATCGACGTGAATTTCGATGATCAGCTGGTTGAGGTCCTACGCGAAGTTCATTACTTGTTGTTCTTAAGTGGCGAGGATGAGTGCTCACTAGCTAGTCCAGAAAGTGTCGTCTTTGGTCTCCCAGAGAAAATCAAAGATTCACTTCCGGCCAGCACACTGGAAATGTACAAGCGCTTGGAACCACTTCGAGAATCGAGGTTGAAGTTGGCTCAAATCCAGAACGCCTACAATTCGGTCCGCCAAAAGACACTAACCGTTGAGTTCCCACTGATTGCAGATGAAGTGGATCAGTTCGATAATCTTCTCGCTCCTGCGCTGAAAACCATGACTTGGGAGAGCGGTGAGTACTGATATTCTAGTACGAATAAGTAACACACAACCCGTGTTAAAAAGCAGAAATCCCGGACTTCTACAGAGAAGGAACTAGAAAATACGTAAACAAACATCCCGTAGACGTTATGTATTCCCGGTGCAAACGAAGATCAAATTTGTAACCTTGTGATTCGTTGCTGTTCCATCCATCCGCAACCATAACTTCATATTCCAAAAGCCAAAAGAGCTCATCGACTGAGTATCGAACGGGAGGAACTGAACAATAAAGAAAACATCGAAGGTCTTGTGTATCTTTTTTTAGTATGCCAGTGGAGAACTGTTCACTTTATTCAGTTCTCAAAATGAATGCCACAGACAAACTAGTCTACTGAAAGGAACCAGTCATCTGCTCCAAACGGACAGTAAAATTATCTTCCGCTTTAAGATGTCCTTTAACTGAACGTTCAGCACAAAGACTTTTCTGGGTCCAGATGAGCTGAGATTCAAGAATTAGGAATTTTCTCACTCCAGGAGAGATTATACTCTTCACTAGACTGTACTGAGCTTTGACTTGCATTCTTATGATGAGATCACGAAAGGACCCACGTACATTAACGTGTTGGATCTTTATCACAACCTTTCGAAGCGTGACTTCAATTCAGGCATTTGTTCATATTGTAACGGATGCTTGCTGTTAGTCGGGGGCTATATAATTCTACCAATGCGAATACGCTTATGGAGGACGTTGCGGATGACTTTATTGTAGGGGATGCCAACGCATTTTCAGTGGTCTTGATCGGTGAACCAGAAAGTTGAACGCATTACTTATACCAATCATATATTTTTGCGACCGGAATCTTAGCCAGTAACGGTACTGTGGTTGGGTACTTTTTAACGTCTGAGAAAACGTTGGGGATTTTGCTCACAAATTAGCTTGTATGAGACTTGTCTGCCATGTAGTTACTGGTAGACAGAAAACTGACACATGCAAGTTTGTGTGGATGATTGTGGTTCCGCTAGATGCTCCTACGATCGTGACAGCACAGAAAAATTGTTATTAAACTTCTTGCTGCTGGTGTCACATTTCATCCCCAGTGGACTCCAGCTTCATTGACACAGCTTTGGAGACTGTCAGTGAGATTCAGTCGCGTGTGACGAAGGCCCAAGAAAATTTGAAACAAGTCGAACACTTGTCTGGTCAATGGCGCGCGTTACCGTTGTACCAAGGCAAAGAACGGAAGTATGACTGCTTGATTCCGCTTGAGGAACGCGATGGTTTGAGAGAAACCAGGTTCAAGGAAGTCGCTTCTGCAGCCCAGAAGATTCATGAATTGATCAAGGTAAGACGTCCACACCTAGCATGATGCGAGTTGCATTCTGTGCACCTGTGAGTAGAGGGGCTTTGTTGACCACTATCCAGAACAATGACGATTTTTTTTGATCTGATACTGTGTTCCTTTCGGACCAGAACAATTTTAGAGATAAACTAAAAGTATCTTACGGAACAAATTAAGTGCCATGTGTCGTTACACACGGAATCGTAAGTCTTTTCACGATATGCCAGAGCGCAATGCGTTGGAAACCGTCAGAAATATGTCAGAATATGTCAAAGTGTACTAGACTGATAATCCGAAATATCGTGCCAATATTTTACGAGTTGGGGATGTACAGTGGGCACACGGTACATGATTTAGACTGCGTTTATGTGTTGATCTGTTATGGACATCTCGGTGTATGTGGATTTCAAGGCTGCCTTTACAACTACTGCAGCGATGAGACAAAGTCGATTCACACTAAAGCTGGGGTTACCTCAATCCGTTAAATCCGTTACGCGTGCAAATGGCATGATGTTTAACCTGAAGTTGCGCGCAGCATACCACATTCTCGAGCTCAATCAGACCGTGACGACGGTGATTACGAAGATTTGGTTCGAACACTTGCCACAGCTGCCGTCTACATGTGTGTTGCGCGATAACTGGTCTGAAAATATAGCTTGTCTTCCTAAAAGCAACGCCTAAAAGCATGATTCTTTTAAGAGTACGATCTCCCAACACCGGAATGAATGAGAGGTGCTGCAGTACTGAACTTTTTGTCCGTGTATTGAACCCAACTATTGCTCTAGAAGCCAACGGTCAGCTGGTTGGATTCCTTTTGCATTCCTTTTCCCGGTCGTTGTGATTACAAGGATTGATTCATAATTTGTTGCCAAGGGACGAATAGCTCGTTAAATTTCGGTAAACAAATCCTGGTTTTGACTACATTTAACCAAAACCTGTCAAAGAGAGCCGACTGGAGCTTGAAATACACAAACTTGGCAGACTCTATGCGCTGTTTCGGAGTTAAACACCGGGATGTTTTGTCATTCGGAATCGACCACCATCAGTACTGCTATTCTTATGCGCTCTTCAGCCTGCAGACCGCACCGGATAAGGATGAAATCCCATTTGTATGAAAAGTCCCAGATTAGCTCCGACACTAATTATGTTTGTAGTCTCCAAGATTGCAGTTTTGCTATACACTCTGCTGCCAAGAACGACCTTACTGTCATCCTAACGTTAGGGCTTTTTCATGTCCACAAAAGCGACCTTCACTGAATGGGGAATTCTGCTGACCGACCGAACATGTTCACACTTTGATCGATGTGACTCGTTTACGCCACGCCTCGAGAGGCTTGTTACTGTCCCTGTGTCTGCCTACTGGCTGGGTTAACGCTTTTCGGCACTAGCGAAGCTTGGAAACTGCTGGACCAGTATAAGTTCTAGTGATGGACTTTAATGACAACGAAATTCGAATTCAGGACTCCCTCTTTATGTGGAGTAGGATAATTAGCCACTCCACATAGGCAGGGTGACTCTTCAAAAGAAAGAAGCCGGTATACAGCTTTCATGAATTCCCCAACGACTCAAGTGGGTGAATTTTATTTCTTTCTTTCCCTGATGGCCTGTAACCACAAGCAAACGTCTGGCCGGGTAGTCTTCTACCCCGCAAGATTTAATGCTACCCTGCATAACTCACCCATCGATCAAAAGATACTTTCAATGTGAGAATTTTAGCGCTTCCAGGGCATTCGACGTTTCTGCTGAAGACTTGTGGTTGCACTGACCAACAGTTCAAGACTGCCTTAGCGCGGTAGTCACCTATTTTATTCCAATTAATTAGTGTCAGCAACTATACTGTGCGGGAAATCTGGCACTAAACAGTCTAAAATCAAAGCAATCACCGATTTGTCAAACACATAAGCTGAGGAGAAACGGGTTTGTTTCGGTATCCTAAATAACCATTGGCTGTTATGAACAAATAAACCAGCTATAGATAAATCTCGGTCCATGGTGCTCATATCACTCGCTTTTTTTTTCTGTAGCGAGTTACTGCCACTAAAACTCAAAGAACCCGCATTGTCACATGACAAAGTTCATAACTCCATACATGGCACCATACCAGAATTAATTTGATCCGGTGTTTATCACACCTAGTGGTATTCTTCACTGTTTTCCTCCATGACACTTTAGGGCGATTCTCAGTTTGACAGACCAAAAATTGAAACACGACTCTCCAGGTCCGTTTTAAACTTACGTCCTCAATCGTTTCGACAGCAGCACCTGCAAATGCCGCTTCATAGAAAACCTTTTCTTTCCAGTCCATTTCTTACTCATATTCCCATGTTATTAATATTTGAAGGAAAATTTAGAACTGTACAAAGCCGAAGAGGACGGTCCGGATTGGTCAGCCTATTTGGAAGCTGCGGAAGATATCATTCTCGAGGGTCTCATTGAAGCGGTTCGTTGTAGCTTATCCTACTTAGCAAACCATACCGAGAAAGGCAAACTGGAAAGTCCGTTGATGGAAACGAAGCTGAACTTGGTCGTAAGTGACGTCATCACATACAGTGAAACAATGCTCTTCACTTTTGTTTTCATGCTTTGGATGACTTACGTCAGAAAAAGATAGTTTCGATCATTTCAGACAGCCGTTGTCATTGACATTACACAAAAAATTGGTCTTGAACTTTGTAGATTTCAACTTCAATGTATAAGCTGTTAAGGTGTCTCTTCGAATACAGGACATATCCTGATAGAAAGCATCTCACGACCTTCGTCTGTCTAACTCGTCTGCTTTTAGTTGGGCTAAATTTGTGAGGCTAGCATCACACATTCTCTCAACCATACATTCCACCAGCTTCTTCTTCGCCAAGTATTTTACTAGTTCCAAATACTTATGCCTTTTTTCATAATTTATACATCATTTTTCTAGGACAATCGTCTATCATACACACCGGGTGTACTAGAAAACCAGGCAGAAAACCTTCTGGATCTCGTAGACAGTTTGGTTCAAGACATTACGGATCAATCTCGGTTGATACCATCATTGACAAACCAACCACACGCACCTCCATCATCAGTCTCACCGGTGGCAGCAACAGTAGCAGAGCCAGAGGCAGTTGATGTGTCTGATTTGTCTGTCGAACAGACTGAACCATCTTCGGAGGTGTCTCTCACTCAACAGGTCAAATCCCTTGTTGGTTTTTCACAACAAGTCCTCAACACCCCTGAGATATCCGAGTCCATCAAGAAGATTACTGATCACGTGCGATCAGCAATGCGTTCCGCAACCGATTTCCAGAACAACCTTGAAGCCAGCTATTCTGTCTATTGGGCTGAGGACCGGACAGAATTTATTCGCCAGTTCTGTCGCTATGGTCGTCTCCTTACCAAGGAGGATCTTGGCCCAACAGGTGAGATTGAGGCCCCGGAAAATCCACCTACTTTGGAACAATTCCGTGAACAGATTCTCAAGTACGATCGTGTCTATGAGGAAGTGGAACATTTAGAGGATTCACGCGTGTTTGACACTTGGCTGCGGGCAGATTTGAAACCGTTCAAAATGTCTTTGTTGGCAGTGATACGGCAATGGAGTGACAAGTTCAAACAGTATCTGGTAGATCATGTGACCTCCACGTTGGATAACTTGAAGGCCTTTATTGAAGATAGTATAAATGACCTGGAACTGAAAGGTGATCCGGAGAAAGTTGACTACAATAAGCTGGTGACGGTGCTGGAAAGACTGAAGCTGATTCGGGAAGCTGAAGATGCGACAGACGCCGGATTCGAACCACTTCGCGAAACCGTGGCACTACTCAAGGAGTTCGGTGAAGAACTTCCAGATGCAATGAACAAATTATTGGAGGTTAGTTCGATAAATTTCCGCAAACCTCCCAGGTACACAGCGCTCCACCAGGAAAATCATTCTGCACTGACTCGGTAGGTCCCCAACTATGCTAAAAGATCACCTGTGACTAAGAATTTCAGGAACCTACCAGTTCTGCATCGATAATGCTGATTAGTCGGGATACGCTACTTGGTTAGCGAGTTATTCAGTTATCCATAAATTTCTGTCCAATCGAATTCCGTACTCAGGATCTTGAACTTTGATATTCCATATGCGGTTTGATGACTGAAAAGAATAAACTATCAAGTACCCGCTGTGAGTCAAATCATTTGACCGAATACACATCCGGTCGAAATATTGCAAGCTATACAGTAAAACAACAGTCTACAATAGGACGATGGGTCTAGCTGTAGAGTATGAAGGTATGCTTACGATTACAGTAATTTTTTAGAAAGGGACCCCTTTCAAGAGTGGATACTCGAATGAGCGATTATTGATCGAGATAACCCGTGACAGAGTTTCCCCGGAATCCGCTCCTAAATGTACTGACCTCGTGAACTGACGCAACTCCGAAGAAACTAAATCATAAAAAATAATCGTTTAACCATGGCTCTCTTTCGGTGACTAGCTGTCATACTATCCGAAGAAAGCAAGAAGACAGAGATACTTCCAGGTGCCCTACACAGAAGCATTCGACATGCTGGGTTTGTGTTCTAACCACAGATCTCCCGGTCATTGTGTCTGCGCCTCAACCACTGAGCTGTCCTGAGCTATAAAAGGACTCGATTCCTCTTCTCACAATGACCGGTCTTGGCGGATCGTTTCGTTGGAACGAACAATCTTGTTTTTTTTAAATTTTGTCTGAGGTTATGAGGTCAACTCACATAATCCACACTAGAAGTCATACTAAACCAAATTGGATGGAGAGGTGAAACCTTGGAATGGCCGTTCTTACTTTTGCTTTAGTCGTAGATGTGATTGCTTCATCAAACGCTAAGCAGATATCGGCTGCATGTCACTGCTAGCGAAACACCGCACGTTATCCTAAACGGATGTATTGTTTTCTTTTCAGTTTTTACCGGAACAATGGCACGAACTAAAGAACATCGCTGTCCTAACCAAACAGAAAATACAACCTTTGCAAGAACGTGAAGTTCAAAATATCCGAGCAATGAGTGCTCACTACGATACCGAGTCAGCTCGACTGAAGCGCGAATTTGGCGAGTCGGAAGTGTTCACTTTTGACTGTTCAGAGCCGTACGAAAGCCTGGATGAAGTAAGTCTCCTTGGAAACTTTGTGACTGCTCTGGGTGGAAGGGCGATAAGAAGCCACCACTCTGATCGTACTGGTATACCCAAAAGATGTGAGATACGAAAGTTCTTGCACGCTGGTAGGACCACTTACGGAAGTTCAGTTTTCATTCAAAAATGCTGGGGAAATCTCTTATCCGTGGATTTGGTGAACCACTTACAAAATATTGGACGGATACTGAGTGCATCTCACAGATCTTCTCTCTTCACTAGGGGACCCAGTCAACTTCAAACCACGAGCGTGGGCTACATGTTTGAAGGATTATTGGTGCCACATCAAGTCCAAGTGCTGATAAGTTGCTCATAGCTTGGTAATTGAGCCCTTAACTCCTTGAAGGAGGAATGCAAATTCGACTCCTCATTTGGAAATTCGTACGACTAAAGCACACATACAGTACTTCAGCATATATTCATACTCCTTGCAAAATGCAGTTCACAACCGAAAATCTACTCTATCCGATGGCCGAGTTACAGAGGGAGATAACTAAGTAGTTGGGCTCACCAGGAAGTTGCTGGCGATTGTTCCGTGCTGTTTAAATTAGATTTTATTTGTTTAGGACAGAGAAAGTCATAAAAACGTTCTGCATCCAGAGGATTCTTCTTCAGTTGATTCTATAGGTAATTCATAATTGCGTTAACTCTCTTAGTTTTTGATAACATCACTCGGAATCAGATACCAACCTATCTTATACCCACAGCACAGTCGTGTCTGACTCGTTCCTCATTTTTCCCTCTTTTTCATCCAGTGGAACACCCGTCTGACCGAGATTGAAGAAGGCGTGACAGAAATGCAGATATCCGCTAAGTCGTTCGAGGTGCGGGATATTCCAACTTACTTGGATCTGAAAGCCATGCGACGTGAGATGAAAGTTACCAAGCGAGTGTGGGATTACATCAACATGTTCCGAAGTTACGTGACTGCATGGAAGACTTCAAAATGGAAAGAAATCGATTTCGGAGCAATTGACGAGGTAAGGTAACCCTATGCCTCTCGAACGAATGCATTCATTTTCTGTTACTCTGGCACCTTCCACATACTTAAGCATCTTTGTTAATTTCAACACGAAATCTTTTAGCACCCAGTAGACTGTCTAAAAAATAATAAGCAAGAGTAGGTATGCGAGGGGAGGAACATTTTCTCTGTGGCTGCTGGGTTCAATTCCCTACCAGGACTTGCCTGTGTATCTGTTGGGTCTAAAGCCTTGATATCGTCTTTTTGACCACTTAGTTTACATTCTCCTAGTGAAGGGTCGATTCGATGGAGCGTGCAAGTTTTTCCTCAAATCTGCTGATTGAAATTCGGTTCTTCTCTTCACTCTAGCTTTGTACCCTCTCATGACAGTTTGAATAACAGCCTAGCCTACAGTTTAACAAAAAAGACGCGGATCAACAACAAATGGGGAGCATGCAGTTCTAGTGGCGTAATGGAATGCACCTATCGAAGAGTGTCTAAGGAATGGCATCTGGACCTTGTAGTAATCAACTCACCAGCACGATATCAAAATGGCACGGGATTCAACATAGTACACAATTCTTTTCACCGACTGCTACTGTGTGAACCACTCCGAAGTCCGAAGTCCATACAGCCACGTATGGTGTAGAACCCCGACAAGATATTTTTCCGTAAAAGAATATTGATTGTTACACTAGAGGTGGCTTTCTTTTGGAATAAATACACCTTGGCGTCTTATCGGTTTTGGCTCTGGAATTGGTCAGAGTGAAATGATAAAAAACTGATTTAATGCAGATGAGATGGTGAAATTTTTAGTCTTCTCAGCGTTAGCTGTAGAGGGAATGAGCTCGACTGTTAGTGGGACTGAGGAGACGGCATGTGGACTGTTGGGAACAGTATGACACGAGGCCAAAATGCCTGTCTGTACCTAGTCGTTTCATGGTTTCCTCCGGAACCAAACCTATCAACTGTTTCCTCTCCCGGATTTTGAATCTATGTGATAGTCGAACAATGAAGCCTTGGTCAGACCGGGAGAGTATCAGGTCTTTATTCAAGCCAAAACGTCTCAACTAGTCACTGAAGTCTACGGATATGTGGATTCCATGACCATGCCTATTTAATTCAAATTTTAAGACAGGTGCTGAAAACTATATGGAACTGACCCTATTGGCTCACACTTGAATTTGGTCGAGCCAATGCGTAACTTCACATACCGTCTCACGTGAGCCCACTCAGACCACCATCCCCTTCACAAACCAGGTCCATCCTGCTGACCTTGACAGTCAGTGTTTGGCTGTTATCAGCCAATAATATTTGTCCGTAATTTGCACTCCATTTTACGAAGAATCTCAGTGAATGTTCCTCTTTCTTAGCAGTTGTGCAATCCGCCCTTTCATGCGTTTCAGTGGACTGTTGGTTTGATTCTGTTATCCCATGTTTTTCCTTTGTCAAACCAGTGATTACAAAATTTGTGGACTGTGTATGGCTAGAGTTGTGCAACGCTACCAGATCACATCAGAACCGCGCAACTGGTGAATCCTACTAGGTGATCGGGCCAGACTCAGGTGACTAGGTGTGATACAGGACTAAATTATACATGGATAACTCCGATTCATTATGGGACACCATCGAGACTGAACCATCGTTTTGGTAGTTCCTTTTCGCTAGGAACCGATTCCTCTCAAATTCCGTAATTGAACAGCACATCGGTCAAAAAATATCATGAACGTCAGGCTCAATCAGGTCAAAAGACAGTGTCGTACATATTTGCAAGTGAATGGTGGTAAACCCCACACGTGCTGCTTCCTTAAAACCAAAAGAGCGTGGCCGGGAATGGGCTGCTGAGAGGCTTTGGTCGAACCCATAAGTGGAACCTTATCAAGATTGAATGCCTGTTCAAACAGTCCTCATGTGCGAGTTTTCTTTTTCCGATCAGTCTAAACCAATTGGTGTAAATGCAATCTCTGGTCAGAGCCCACTAATGAATTTCAGCAAGTGATGAGCATACTCATGGTCATATGTGTTATGAACTCATTTACACATTCAAAGTTGAGTGATGGGCTCTTTCTACGTTACCGTCCTAGAAATCAACGGGGTACAACTGAGTACATTGGCTGTCATTAGCACATACTTCATTGTGTTCTTCCTCCCTTCCGTTCTGACACTATTTCAGGTGATTCGAGAGATTTCTATTGAAATCCGCACGATGGACAAGGATGTTAAACAGTGGCCTATGTTCCAGGGTTTGGAGGCCGAACTGAAAGATATTAACGCAGCTGTAACTGCTGTCCGAGATCTACAAAATCCGGCAGTCAAAGAGAGACACTGGATTGAGCTTATGACCGACACTGGACGAATGATTGAAATCAATGACGAGACCACCTTGGCCGATCTACTCTCCCTCAACTTGCACAAATTCGAGGAAGAAGTTCATGGTATTGTGTCCAAAGCATCCAACGAACAAAAGATCGAAAGAGATTTGGAGAAGATAGAACAAGTATGGAATGAAATGATGTTCGAATATGAAACGCACGATCGAACCGGATTAGAACTGCCAAAACAAACTGAGGAGCTGACCGGCACTTTGGAAGAAATTCAGGTTAAAGTGTTAGACATGCTTGGGAATCGCGACAACACATTCTCGATAGATCGCATCAACTACTGGCACAAGACTCTGTCCATGACAGACCAGGTACTGACAGTATGGTTCGAGACGCAGCGCGTCTGGTCCGGCTTGGAATCGATTTTTGTCCTATGTGACGATATCCAAGCACAGTTGCCGAATGATACCGCATTATTCATGGAGTTAGACAAGGAATTTCGTGTGCTAATTGATGAACTCCAAAGTAAACCCAAGGTGCTGGATGCAACGACACAAAGACCAGAGATTTTGGGCGAAATTCAAAAGATCCGTGACGGAATGACGATTTGTGAAAAGGCCTTGGCTGATTACCTGGAAACCAAGCGTTTATCATTCCCACGTTTCTATTTCGTATCCCAAGTCGATGTGACGGATATTGTGAGCAACGGAAAGGTGCCAGCCAAAGTTCTACGTCATTTGTCAAAACTTTTCGACAGTATTTGTAGCTTAACCTTCGAAAAACCTGATGCCGCAGTGAAGCATGCAACTAAGATGATTGCTAAAGTAAGTGATACTTGTGGGGTTAGCCCTTACTATGCGACACCGTGCTACAGCATACAATACAGTGCTATACTATAATGCATTAAAATGTACCATACTACACTTTACTATGCTATACTGCACTGCACTACATTATACTTGCTGCAATGTAGATGATTGCTAAAGTAAGTGATACTTGTGGGGTTAGCCCTTACGACACGACACCGTGCTACAGCATACAATACAGTGCTATACTATAATGCATTAAAATGTACCATACTACACTTTACTATGCTATACTGCACTGCACTACATTATACTGTGCTGCAATGTTGTAAACGTGCCCCACCCTCTTGTTGCTCTTTGACTAGGATGGTGAAGAGGTCAAATTCGTGAAGTCATTCGATCTTACTGGTCAGGTGGAGGAGTGGCTCAACCAGTTGCTTGATGAAATGCGACACACGCTGCGTAAGATCCTCGCAGACGCCGTTGCTGCCTATGAAGAGAAACCTCGAGATCAGTGGATTTTTGACTATCCCGCTCAAATTGCGTTGACCGGTTCCCAAATCGGTTGGAACAGTGAGGTACAAATAGCGTTTGGACGACTGGAAGAAGGTCTAGAGAATGCGATGAAAGAATACAACAAGAAGCAAATCAACCAGCTGGGTATTTTGATCCAGATGCTTCTCACCGATCTGACTCCTGGGGCTCGTCAAAAGATCATGACCCTCTGTACCATTGATGTACACAATCGGGACATTGTGGGCAAGCTTATTTCACAAAAAGTCGATAGTTCACAAGCTTTCACGTGGCTGTCCCAGTTACGTCACCGGTGGGATGATGCGCGACAGGATTGTCTCGCCAACATTTGTGACGCCCAGTTCGCCTATGCCTACGAGTATTTGGGCAACACACCACGACTTGTCATTACCCCACTGACAGATCGTTGTTACATCACTCTGACGCAATCGTTGCACCTTTGCATGAGCGGTGCTCCAGCTGGTCCTGCCGGGACTGGGAAAACAGAAACCACGAAGGACTTAGGCCGTGCACTCGGGGTTATGGTGTACGTGTTTAACTGTTCCGAACAGATGGATTACATGTCTGTGGGAAATATCTACAAAGGACTGGCCCAAGCTGGTGCCTGGGGTTGCTTCGATGAATTCAACCGGATCGCGGTCGAAGTTCTGTCCGTTGTTGCGGTACAAGTGAGTTTCTCACGCGACTGCGTACGAGCCCATGAGCTGTGTCCAGATTACCTAGAGTCATTCACAATCACACACAAGATAGTCTTGGAGGTCTCAGTACTATCGACTGAATATTCACTCAGCATGGTAAATATTAAGTTGAGAAAAAATTGTTGTTACTCACGTTACTTTAGACATTCCATGAAGCTATCAGCGTCACTATTTGTTCTATGTGCATTTCCAGTAGGGAACACGATGTAGCGATGCGAGAACATCCCAGATAATGAAGTGTCGAATCCGGCTGAAGACATTTATTGATCTTGCTGCTGATTTTATTGCATAGGTTGTTTGCAACGTGATTGCAGATTTTTACAGCCTGTCGGAATGTAGGGAGCTGAAAGCCAAAGTATGATATTTCAATTTTCGATTCAAGGGGCGGCTGGCGACAGAAGGACGGTAAATGTTGACCGTTCGAGAGATGTTGGTGACGCTGCTGGATCCGAGAAAAAGCGAACTGTAGTCTAACACGAGAGTATGTCCAAAGTTCCTGATATCCTTTCTAGACCAGGTCTATCTCGTATCTGATGGTTGCTGTCAACCGTCTCGCAATCGTCGACGTCGGTGTTCACTTTGAACCCTTGATATCAACGAATTCCGAAAGCTTTTCGAATCTAACTAATCTTGGCCAGAAAAAAATAGAAAAAAGTACATCAGACCCCAGAGATGAAATTGAAATCATGAACAGAGAGCAAACGTTAAATAAATGATTTGCAGACATCGTCTACTGCCTACCTCGGGGGGGGGGTGTTCCAAGGACAAGCCACCGCATTAGTTACGATGTTGGGATGGGCCTGAGTTCTCACTGAAGTATATCGGACTCAAGTTGGAGTGTTCATTATTTCTGTCATTGTCGGATGGAGGTGAGTCGCTTGTTTATTACTTCCCTACCTATATCATGGTACGAGTTGGTCGTGAACGATCACGTGAGAACGCGACGTGATGTGATAACCAGGACCTGATTGGCAGGTGTTGTCAGACCGCCTGTGCTATGAAGGCAGCCTACTATCTTCTGTGTGATCCACCGCGGCACATGCTTGAAGAATTTTCATACAACGGTTTGGATTCGTCAGCTGCGCACAGTCGTAATGTGCTAACTGAGGAAAACTGGCCGAATCCGGCTACAGTTGTTCGTAGTATTGCAAGCTTTTCACAAGCGATTTCAAAATCTGGACGGTAGAGTATATGCATACAAGATTCTGTCAGTAAAATTAAGACAGTGTGACTTCCTGTGATAGTTTTGGAGATGCATTCATCGACACTTCAAGTCGATAAAGTGTAACGACATGGTGGCTCTAGTGTTATGGACAAAAAGAATTAAGTAGATAATGAGGAGTCGTACACTGCTTGGCTCCTAAAGTACTTAACCTGTCCCACATGTGGAGGGCCTCGGTATCACACAAAATTACTGGCAACCTCAGCTCTAACTTGTCCGTCTTTAGCATTGTAACACCAAGTCTGAGGTCTGGTTTTTACTTCACTGTCTCTTCTCCAATTCGCCCACTTACACCGATACAGGTCAAAGCGATTCAGGACGCAATACGTTTGAAGAAGGAGCGATTCAACTTTCTGGGTGAAATAATTCCGCTGGATCCCGCAGTGGGCTTGTTCATCACCATGAATCCGGGTTACGCTGGTCGCACGGAATTGCCAGAAAACTTGAAGGCTTTGTTTCGGTAACGATATAAATTTCTTAGCTATTTTCAATCGTTATTCCCTTTGGAATTCTACTCGGTGAGGTGATCGCTTCCACTCACTGTACGGTAGTTCCTCGAGAATCGACAAACTGTCTTTTGGACAAACCGTTACAGTTTTAGTAGTGCTTAATTGTCTCTAACTGACGACCTGTTAAAGTGGACGATTGACATTACAGATAGGCCCAAAAGAGTGTTAAAACACCGCTACAGGTCCAGCTGCCTAAATTCCTGCAGCAGGCAAATCCAGGATCCGAAAAATTTTCGTAATTTGGGACAACTTGCTCCTCCAAATTTGATACATTCTAACTGCATTTTTTTATTGCAGACCTTGTGCCATGGTCGTACCTGACTTCGAACTGATTTGCGAAATTATGTTGGTTGCTCAAGGATTCTTGGACGCCACTATCCTGGCACGTAAATTCATCACTCTCTACCAGCTCTGTAGGGAGTTGTTGTCCAAGCAAGATCACTACGATTGGGGTCTAAGGGCCATCAAATCGGTGTTGGTGGTGGCCGGTGCATTAAAACGAGGAAATCCGGAACACAGTGAAGATTCGGTTCTGATGCGTGCGTTGCGCGACTTTAATGTGCCGAAGCTGGTCACTGAAGACATGGCTGTATTTCTTGGCCTGATTTCAGACTTGTTCCCTAATTTGGATGCTCCACGAAAGCGAAACATGCAATTCGAAGCAGCCGTAAAACAAGCTACCGAGGATTTGGGATTACAACCAGAGGATTCATTCATTCTCAAAGTAAGCCCGAAATCTCCCCGAGAACGAACAGATGGTCACATAACCACCAATGACGGACATGAATGGGTGTTATAACACTTAGCAGAAGATGCTAATATGAGCACCAAATGCCCATAGAGACGGCAGTCATTGTTCGAAACTCTATTCTCTTTTTCCAAGTTTGACTGTCTAAGCATTATCCTACCGCACCAAGCATTTCCTCCACACACTTGCATTCTCATGCTCCATAATTCTAAATTATGGTAAAATAATTCTAAAATGTTTTAGAAGAAGTAAACCCGAAAAAGTAGAATTTTTACATGTTTCTAGTAGGAGCCTCTACAGGCATCACCGCTAAGGCAAGATGGCTTGTTGGCGAGTGGGGCACATTATACAACCCTGAAATGACTGGTTGATGTGGCAACCGACTTTGGTATAACTTCACAGTACATCTATTAGTTAAATTGAACCGACATAAAGTTCTTTTGTGATACTTTGTAGGACGATATTCACTTCTTGACTGTGCGCAAGATGACTTGGAAGAACTTCATAGTGCATTTTAGGGTTTAGGTTCATTGAAGCCTCACCTTGTCTAGGAAGGAGTGACATGATAGCGAGGGTAATTTGTTCCAACACCTATATATATATAT